CCGAAGAGTACACAACCTATCTGTATGAGGTCGAACATAATGAACTTGATTTATTCTTAACTCTCCACTAAAGGAGATAATAATTTCTTGTAGAATATGATCTGTATTAAAATTAATTAAATAAAATTGTAAGTGTATTTGAAATAAATTTTGTTTCATCTACTTATCTAAGTACATAAGTGATTTAAAATTTTCTTTTGCCTTTATTAGTTGAAATCCGAATTCAAACAACTTTTACAAAAACGGCTTAAAACATATGAAAACTATTCCCTAGTATTATAAAGTTGTACACAAAATGAAAGATATAAGCATTAAGAAAGTGGATAATGAGTTTTTCCCACGTACATGAAATTTGAAACTTATTGATACGTTGTAATCTAGCAATAATAATCGAAGCGAATTATAATTTTGTTGGTAACAAGCTCCCTCACGATGAAGAACAAGCATCTGTATGTATATAGAAAGTATTATTCCGTCTGGCATTTGGCTATCCATTAAATATTCAGTTTACACTGTGAGATTAAGATTCGCCGGATAAGTTTTAAGCGTCCGTAATCGTAAATCGACAAATGCCTGACGGTTTGAAAAGAATATGCGAAAGAAGTTTCGAAAATTATATTATGCCTCTCGGTGTAATATACACGGGGCTGTCTCTCCCTCTCCGTGTGGGTAAAATTATTATTGCAATATGAATAAATAGCCGAGCGAATGCGGGAGGTCGAAGGTACAACGAGAAAAGTGATTTAAGGAAATTTTATTTTTAGACAAAACCATATATTCCTTCACTAGGATTTTAGAATTATTCATTTCTTATTCTTTCTTGCTATATTATTTTCGGATTTTTAAGGAAAAGGAATTTTCAAATCATGTTTTGTTATATCATGGTAAAATTCATTGTTTTACAATCACCAAGGTTAAGCAAACTTTATCAGCGATTATTTTTATCGTAGGAATATCAATCATGATAGTAGTCTGAATATTCTCACAACCGAACGAAATGACGTTAATCATAGTCTGACTTTTGTTGGTCTTTGGCTCGTTACTGCGGTTTTATTATTATCTTGTTGGCGTAACCCTGCATGGCCCTTTTCACCGATGGAAGGGGACGAAAACCTGACTCGCTCACGCGGATAACAAGTAGACAAACTTTTAATAAGATACTCGCTGAGTCTAAAAGCAATGACTTGACAAACCGTTAAGCGAAAATTTCCCGCTCGAATGAAGCAGAACTTTGTTCTTATGTGAAGAGAAGTTCTCTTCTAAACATTTAAACGTAAAAACGAATGAAGTCAATGATAATGAGATTATTAGTCAGTTCAATCGTCACTCTAGTAGATGATTTTATGACCCCTAATACTATATTTCAACTGATCTAATTTAATTCAATCTGTTCCTTTCGAGACTTAACCTTACCTAACCTTACCGCTATCTAAACTTAATCCTATCTAAACTTTAGCGTCATCTAAACGTAAACATATCTAAACTTAACCCTATCTAAAATTAATCCTATCATAAAATCCTATCCATCGAAAATATTAATTACCATCTAAAATAGTACCTAGAATCCAAACTAGTAACTACACTAGGTGTGATTTTTCACTGTAGGATCTAAACAAGAAGATTGATTCTATATCCCAGTTGCAGAACAAACATATTATCTGAATGGCCAGTCAATTTAAAATTCGATGAAAGCTATAATAAATGTATGATAAATCAATAAAAGCTCAACTGTCATCAGCTAAGTAATAGCGTCCGCTTCTTTATTCTAAACTAAATTTATTTACAAATAATTGGCGAATGAGTGTTTAAAATTTATTAACCAGACCCCAAGCATCGTAAACGCGCCGTAAATCGTTCCCCGCCGAAGAAAGCAATGGAGAGAAGGCGAGAAAATGCAAGTAAGAAGCTCTCTCTAAACACACCGCTAATTACCATTAAGTGCAGTGCTAAATCAATTTTTTCCTTAGTTAGGGTTCAAAAAAATTGTTCTTAAACTAAAATTGATATAATTCTACAAAAAAAGGAAGATTCTCCAGTTTAAAATTAAGTGACCAATTTTCTTCTATTAATATATTATAGAATATGGCATTATTGCAAATGTAGGTTCTCACACAGTGCAGGAAAAAAACAGACATTGAAAGAAATAATTTTCATATTCGATTTATTATTTATTGTAATAATAATATTTTTCTGATTTAAACAATTTTAAATAGAAGCAAATTACAATTTCTTTAATGCAATAAAATAAAATATTTGGGTAATATATTCAAATATGGATTTCTAATACTTTAATACTATGGATTATATTCTACAAGAAATTGTTTTTTTTCATTTAATGAAAAGTTAAAAATAAATCAAACAATGACTTTGTTATGATCAACCTCGTATTGTTAGGTTGCGTAAACTTCGGCGTATGTTTTCAAAAATTGGAGTAAATTTCCGTTTTCTTTGAATTTGAAGTCTCTTTGTCTTTTTTGATCTGCTGCGTAAGAATTCCAATAGAAATCTTTGCCTTATTTGTTTTCTTAAATCAATAACATGCAATCCCCTTTTGTAAGTGAAGTAATGCCAAAGAATTTCGCTGATAAATGCTACCGCTGCTAGAAAGTAGCCAAACATTAACAGCATCATTACTCGAAACAAAAACTTATTTGACTGCCCTTCATCTCTCAACTCGTCACTAAGAATGACCGAAACTTTGGAATCATATGTTCTCCACTTTGACATTAACCCAACTTCGATAAACTGAAGCAGTTTCTTGTTAAAATTGTCCATTATTAAAAATCCCGCCTCAGTTAAATAAGCTTCTCCTCTATATGAAAGAGTTTCATCAACAAGTTGTATTTCCACTTTTTTATTTGCCTTTCTGTAACGATTTATAAAACGTATAAATGCATTAGATGACACAGAGCATGATACATTTTTGTGTTTGACTAAATGTTTTAAGCAATCATGTACCTGAGGTCCACCTGCAATGAATTTAGTTCTGTTCCTAAGATTTTTAATGTATTCTACTTCGTTAATATTTTCTTTTAGCAGAGAAATAACAGATGTATAAAAACTTAGATTCGTAGCTGCAAGATTTTTCAGCGAATTAATTTCTTTATACTTTACGGGTCTCAATTCTATGTCTGTCATCATTGAATGGAAAAATCCAGAATAGATTATGCACATCAATAACAAACATATTAGCACAAATCTTTCTCGCTTTGATTTTGGAACATTCGGAAGTCCCATTCCTAAAATTATGCCTCCAATGTCGAGGAATTGCCAACAATTCTTTTCAGCTTTCATAAGTAGGAGAAGAATGCGCAATACTTTAATGAACAACAAATTTTCTACAATTGCCATTAATAAATTCCAGCTTAGAATATTTATCTTAAATTCAATTTTTATTTTTGGAACTGCAATCTTCATGTCAATTAAAAAAAGAATACGACTAAAATGACTATTTGGTTGCTGTTTGTAGTGATAATATTGTATGCCTTGAAGAAAAAAGTGTGCTTTGTAACGACTCAAGAATATAGCGTTCGATATATTCATCGGTACATACTGTAATTCAAAATTTAAACACTTTGCCATTGTTCTATGTAAAGATTCAAAATAATATTTATTAATATTATTCCTAAAGAGAATCCTTAATTTCTTGTTGTACATGTTCCTTCCTTTGTCCGGAAACCAGCAGGAGCTTGTCCAATTATTTCTGGATGAGTAAATTCGACTGAAAGCGTTAAATTGATGAAGAGTTGAAATAGTTTTAGCAATTTTTAATCTGTTGGTTACGTTCAGTTTGTTATCTTCTAAACGAAGTACAGTAACGTCTGCAAATTTTCTATTCCATAACAGTGACAAGAAGGTCTTATAAGGTGATTCAAAAATTTCTTGAAAATTTGTTTCGGAGAAGTGGACAATGAGGCACTTTGGTCTCGTGTACTGATGAGACAGGTTTGATAAGAGTGCAAATTGTGTTTCTAGGTTTGGAGTCAGATTTTCAGCATTCGCGAAAGTGATGATGACAAACAATGTCGTTTCTCTAGGTTTTCTGCCAATGTGTCTAGGAATCGCGATTGAATTTTTATCTTCGTCAACAGTCACTAAAAGCGTTGGTATCCAATTGATCTTTTGAACAAAGTCGTTAATTTTGAACTGATTCGTGGTTTTGTGGTCAATAAGAATCATGACCTGATGTTTGCCTCCTTCTTCAGCAAAGTACCGAACAAAATTGTTCATCCCTGGGATTTTTGATTTCGGATATTCTTGGAGACTCGCATAAATATCCGCAAAGTACACTAACAGTGATACAAAGGCACATTTTAAAAAAAATGGTGACATTTTTTTTTGTTTAACTTTTTTACCTCTTCTCCTAAAGGTTGATAAAATACTTCTCTTGTATTTTCTAGTAAATGTGTATGAAGGCAACGATTTGAATATTTTATATTATGTACAATAATTCATGACAAGAAATATTTTATTTCATGCTTTTATATTATTTTAGTTTTATTTTTTATACTACTTTATTCATACTATGATTTATGATAACTCCACGTAATTTTTATTGAATTTTTCCTTCCCTTTTTTATATTTTTTGTTGATAAATAACAACTTTGATAATATAATAAATACTATGATTTGAAATATTTTGCATCGAAGTTTTATTATTTCACAATAATCAATTGTTCGTATAAAAAAATGTAACATAATTTACAAATTATTATATATTTATATAATAAAATAATATTTTTCCGGACAATCTTGCCACAAGATTACGTGCTATCTGAATAAGGTTAAAATCGAAAATAAGAATCACATTAATAATAATTTTTTTAAACAATAAAATTGATAATATCGATCATTGTGATTACAGTTTTATTATTAATTACCGTCGAGTGATAAAGTTTTCTTATTCTAAATATTATTTAATATTCAATATTAATATAATTATTATATATAATACAAAAAACTAGAGGATCTGTAGGTTACGCAATGAAAGTGTTATACATATTCCACTTTACCTTAAATAAATTCAGTAATAGTGTTATTTTAACTGAGTATATCTTATTTTACAAATATTTGGTTAAAATTTATTTGATTAAAAATTAAAACTGTTAAAAAAATGTTTCTTTTCATTTTGATATTCATAGGTATTGCATCATTATGTTAAAATTCATGTTCTTCATAAGAAATGAGATTTCAATATTTATTTTATTTTAATTATTGAAATTTTAATTCTAATCTAAATTGTTAGAAGGGCAAATGCAGGCAAAATGTAACATTTCATTTCTGTCCTCGTTGTAATTGTACTTTAAAATTTTGAAAGAACCATCTTCAGTGAATTCGCTTGATGTATAGTATAATGGATGTATCATTGTTATTGAATCACTCAAGATACCAGAAGAACTTCCCATCTTATTAAAAGCGGAAATTTTAAATCGATACGTTTCACCTGGAGTAAGTCCTGAGAAAAAGTAATGCGCATCGTCCGTTACAATGAAACGTGTCAAAAATCGAGTGTTATTTCTACAATTCTTATCAGAGTCATCATTTTCCGCGAGGGCTATGATTTGATATCTCAAATTTTTAGGACTGTTAAGTGGCCTTGTCCAATCTATTTTTACTGCTGTATCCGAATGGTATCTCACTTTGACTGGTCCTAATGGTGGATTAGGCTTTCCTAAAAGTAAATTTACAATTTAGAATTTTGAAAACTTTCCTCTTTTTTTACTCGTCAATACAAGACGAGAATCGAATTTAAAAAAATTTGTTAACTTTTAATAGGAATAGTTCATACCATATACTTTATCTGTTGTGCAATTTCTGCTTTTGATTGCTTGACGAATCGGAAATTCTCCTTTCCTTTTGGCGATAAATTTATACGAATGTCCTGGAGTAAGTTTACTGAATGTGCAAACTTGATAGTCTTGTTTGATATATTTACTGAATTCACTGTACTTGCAAATTTCAACGTTGTCATCTTCATTTCGTCAGATTTATGAAATCAGATATGGAAGGTTAATATTAAACAGTTGTTATCTTTGTATTGTTCCTGAATTTTATTTAAAAACAAATGTTACGCGCTCTGAAGAAAGTCACTCAATTTTAAGTAAAGGATGAAATAATAAACTAACTTTGATATACGATTTGTAATTTTTTTCTCCTCCTTTCTTTAGAGCGGGTCACAAGTTGATGTCTCAAATAGTTTATAATTGCTATTCCTTTGTTAAAATCTTTAATAAAATCTTTGTTAAAATATTTATGTTAAAATCTTTATTAAAAAGATAAAGTGTTCATACCGAAGGTATTTAAAGTTAATAACTGTCTGTCTAGTGTCAAAGAATTGTAACTGCAAATTGCACAAATGTCCTTTAATGTGGGATAATCCAAGTCGACTGCCCGAATGGTAAAAGTCTCTCCAATTCCTTCCTTAGTTAAATGAGGTCTAGTTAATTTCAAACTGGCCGTTTCATCAGTTACATGAAATACTGTGATATGTCCATTGCGCTTCTCTGCCATTCAAACATTTACAAATATTACAAAATTTATAATTTCCAAAAGCTTTTACATCTTAAAAACCGAAAAGTAACCCATTTTTAAACTTAAATTATAATTTAAGTTTAAAAATGGGTTAATTTTTGGTTTTATTTAGGGTAGAGGGCCCCAAGGTGGCCACCCTGGAGATATTCTTGTGCATTATTTGGCAGCAATGAATGCTTTAGTTTTTAATGATTTACAATTAAATGGTTTATTTTATATTTTCTGATACTCTAATTAGTCATTAAAATATTAAATATACTTACCCTTTTTGCTGATGGATAAAGTCAAGCATATTGTAGCAAGTGTGAGAAAGAGTATAAATTTCATATTAGAAGACAATAAGTTGCGTCTGTTTTAGGTAAAGATGTTGATGGAGAGTACTGCAATAATGTCTTTTTATACTAAAACTAGAACACTTTTAAGTTACACAATATTTAGAATTTTTAGTTTACATTACATAACTTTAGCAATGGAATTGTGTAAATTGAGTATATTTTATTAAATAAAGAGGAAAAGCAGGTTAATCTATAGAAAAAATTACGTAAATTGTAAACAATATTTTATAATTTTCTATGTATGTTATCATGTTTAAATATTAAAGTCTATATAATACATAACCTTTCATTGCTAAAATATACATATTGACTTTATTACCAATATTTTATCTTTTTCTACAGTAAACAGAAATTCTACAGCTAACAAAATTAGCTGTCCTTAAAAGAAGTAAAAATCGATTGACTTATTAACTCTTAATATAATATTAATTAATTAATAATTTAATAATATAATAATAATATAAAATAATTAACTCTTTTACCCCTTTATCGCCCGACTTTTTTTTAGAAAAGTGCAATTTTCGTCATCTTTTGTATTTAGAGATTTTTGAGGTCGTTGATTACGAATATGAAATCAGTTTTTCAAAATTAAAAATGGCGGATCCAACATGGCAGACGAATTTATAAAAATTAGATCAAAATTTGTTAACCTCCTGGTGGTCAATCTCGGTAATTACAAATAAGTAGGAAAATCACATACACTCGAAAACATATTTTTATAAAAATCCACCAAATTTTTAAAAATTCGTCCGCCATTTTGAATTTTGGAAAACCGATTTCATATTCGTTATCAGCGTACCCAAAAACCCCCAAGTAACAAGTTTTAAGGGAATCGTATCAAATTTGAAAATGTCCACCATATTGGGTCCGCCATTTTGAATTTTTAAAATCTGATGCCAGCAACCCCGAAAACCCCCGAGTAATAACTTTTATGTGATTTAGTTTAATTATGCCTTTAAACTTTTATTTAGTTTTTCCATCAGTCTAAAGGTTGATAGAAACTTTTTCTCTAATTTTTTTTTTTAAATAAAAAAATGTAATATGATTCATAGACGAAACTTAATTTTTTATCACTTTTATAAGATATAGAAAGATATATTTATATAAACATATATTTTAACATCTGTTTTTTTTTAAAATAATCATAAAAATCACCAGAACACTTTATTGATACTGTCAAGTATTCAATGTGAAAAGAACGAATATTTATTTCTATTATTGAAATTCAGTGTGAAAATTAAAACTAAACTATTTACAAAAGACGCATTTTAAGAATTATAATAATTTTTTTTTGACATTAATTATTCAAAGTAACACATTGTGAAGAATTTATAATCAAACGTAATGGAATATATTTTGAAAAAAAGTGATGAAATATTATTTAAAAATTTCAATTGTATATTAAATTCGCATGTTTTATCATAAAATTAATTCCAATTGGCAAAAGTTCATTGTTAACCGCGTAAAAATAGAAGTATGATTCAAAATGGCAATCCATGCACGGAGAAAATTTATTCCTGAGATTTTACTAAATTTAGTTCGGTAAAACTGTCCTTATATATTAATCCGAATTTTATTTCACCGCTTGTGAGAGAGATTCAAATTAATAAACTATTGTAAAAAATAAAAAATTATCTGTATTAATGAATCATTTCTAACTATATTTAAGGTCAATTTATAAAATAGTTTTAAGTTATAAAAACGTATATTTAAAACATAATTTTCTTCTGAGTGTAGAGAAAAATTTATTTCAGGATACAAATTTGGGAAAATGTAAACAAACCGTGGAAACTTTATATAATTAAAATGACGCGAGTTATTTATTCCGTTTAGAGATGAGTAATTTTAGTTTAGAATTTCTGTTTTTTCAATTACATGAATACATTTTCATTTGGAACGCTCTATTTGGTAAAGCAAGAGTAAGTGAGAGAGAGAGAGAGAGAGAATTGCAAATTCCATTTGCGGATTTAATATTGTTTATTTAACCCAATATCCGGCAGCTTATACAATCAAGCGTCGTTACGATGTAGCGCGCCGTATGCCATAGTGTTTGGTAATTGTATTTCCATGCTCGGAAGGTTGGAAGTCTGCTGTTAGAATTTCTCAGAGAAGACCTCGATCGATCTTAACCTAGGACAAATCTTCCTCAACCTCAAGATACATATTTTCACACGCATATTTCAAACTACATAATATTCACAAAATGAAACAATTTTTATACCATCCAATAATTTTCCCTTTGATCAAAAAGTAGATTCAGAAAGAAAGAGAATATTTTTGTTATCTCTGTTTAATTACAAATTAATGCTGCTGATTAGCCAAACAGTTTAGTTTTTTAGCCAATTGCTGAATGTCCAGACATTCATTAATGAAAACAAAAAAAAAACTAAACTGTTTGGAAAATTAGCAAGTTGGGTAAAAACTGAACTGTTTGGGAATTCAGCACTTGAGTAAGAAATATTAATTATAAAAAAAAGATCATTATTGATTTAAAATCAATAAATTAGTGGATTTTTATCTCTCTTTGTCTACTTAAAATGAAAACATGTCGACTACCACTTTATCGCAAATATAAAATAATAATCTTTATTTACATAAAAGCAAATATATATTTGCTCTCTAACAAAGTTCCAGTGTTAGAATCAAGAACATTATTTTATTCTTTCATCCTGGACATTTTTCACGAATTTACGATCAATTTTACGATGCTGCACCTTTAATTTTGAAAGAGTATTCAAAGCCACGCTCGCTTTATAGCGCGTAAAAGACTATAGTTTCATGCAAATGTAAAGAGGAAAGATTTTTCGATACAAACGCGCCTCGAGCATGACACCCTACCAATGTAGCACATTACGATCAATTACTTTCGACGATACCAAGAAGAGTCCCATAATTCTACTCTGTCCAACAAGTGTATTATTTTCAAGGGGTCCTCGTCATTATCCTAACCCACCAGGTAGAATAATTCAGAACGTACAACAAGATTGAGATCGACGGACGAATTTTTTATTTACTTATTGTTTTTCGGATCTTTGTACCTTAAAACATTGTCTGGGTCTTTAAAAAAATAGATTTTTTTTGTATTTGATAATATCAAACCCCCCTCCCCCCTAAGCCTGTGATGTAATATATGAATGATCCCTAATTTATTTAAAAATATCAAATGGTCAATTTCAAAATTTAAAGTAATGAAGAAATGGAAAGAAACGAAGATAAGGAGAGGATGAGGGGAATCCTGGACAGAGCAACGTTCCAGTTTAGGCTCAAGAGACACGTTCAGTTACAATAAAGTAAAAACGTGTCAGACCACCTCTTCTCCTTTCTGCCCCCCGTTTACACTGTCTACACGAATTTTAAGAAGACGCTGAGAAACATGTTAGGCAAAAAGAAGATTTGTCCATAGATCGCGTGACGCTCCCTTGGAAAACGACAGTTTAAAGGAAAATTAATTGGCGTAAATTTAGTCTCAAGTGAAACGAGTATTGGAGTAAAAAGTAATATAAGCAGTTTGTTCAACGTGACTTGCAGACATGGTCCACTGCACGTAAGGCTCACTTGGTATAGAGTGAAGCAAAAAAAAAAAAATGAAACAAATACTGAAGAATTACAGGCAGAAAAATAAAAACAATGAAAAAACTAATTAATGGCAATTAATTTGAGAAATGTCCAAAGAAAATTATTAAAAAAACGTCTTATGTCGTTTGCCATGGTTTCCTCAATTATGATCATAGTTAAAATGTAGAAATTTTTAGATTTAAACGCTAGTTTCCCTCGTTGACCATGGTTCGCTATCTTTTAACCATGTTTAAAATAAATGTCGATCGTTCAATAAAAAGTTATCAAAATTCACATTGAGAATAAACGTATTTTGACGAATCTTTTATGCAGTTAGAATTGAATTTACCAAAGAGTTTCTGTGAAAAAGAAGAAAGTGTGAAAGACCAATAGAACGGGCTAATAATTATCGAAAGAGAGAGTGAGAGAGAGAGGGACCGAAGAAAAGATGAATGTATGAATGGCTGTGTTGGATGGGCGAAAAAGCTGTATAGATGGTTTATGGCGGTTGGAGGAGAGAGCTTAGCAAAGGAACTCACTCGTAATGTTTCACCACGATACAGACGCCACATTATGTCTCCATCCGCCTTGTAGCGAGCTCTGTGACGTGACGTGAGTGTTCCAGACAACCTAATTACATCACAACATAGCGCGCAACCCAGCAAAGTCACCCCACACCTTCCTTCGCACCATCATCAGCTTCACCTCGGCTACAACTTGCGTTACCGTTTCCCCGTTGCCCTCCAGCCACTCCGGAAGTCACCCCTTTCGAAGACACGAAATATCCTCCATTCGCAGCAGCTTCTTGCTGCATTTAAATCATGTCCCTGCATCTTCCAACTCTCACAAAGACACTGATGGCACTACGCTGCTATAAGAGACTGACTTTGAAGAAATAAAGATTTTTTTTTAAAAAAAGTAGTAAACTTCGAAACAAAATGAAGAATATAAAAAATTCTTGGGTTTACATAGTGGTTCCAAATGCCAAAAACGTGGCTAAAATTCCCCCAAAAAATATATTTAAACTAGGAAAGTTGAATACCCGAAATAGTTAGGTTGGTATGAATCACTTCCCACTTTCCACTCTCACTTCCCACTCCAACATTCATTTCCATATTTCCACTACCACTTCCCACCTTCCACTCCCCCATTCACTTTCCACCTTCTGCTTTACACTCTCACTTCCCACCTTCGACTGTGACTTCCCACTTTCACTTTCCACTCCAACATTTAATTCACAATTTCCACTACCACTTCCCACCTTCCACTCCCCCATTCACTTTCCACCTTCCACTTTACACTCTCACTTCCCACATTCACATCTCACCTTCCACTTTCACCTCCCACTCTCACTTTCCCCTACCACATTCACTTCACAATTTCCACTACCACTTCCCACTTTCCACTCTCACTTCCCACTCCAACATTCATTTCCATATTTCCACTACCACTTCCCACCTTCCACTCCCCCATTCACTTTCCACCTTCCACTTTACACTCTCACTTCCCACATTCACATCTCACCTTCCACTTTCACCTCCCACTCTCACTTTCCCCTACCACATTCACTTCACAATTTCCACTACCACTTCCCACCTTCCACTCCCCCATTCACTTTCCACCTTCTGCTTTACACTCTCACTTCCCATCTTCCACTGTCACTTCCCACTCTCACTTTCCACTCCCACATTCACTTCCAACATTTAATTCACAATTTCCACTACCTTTGACTTACTACTCCCACTTTCCACTTACCACTCTCAGTTCTCAATTTTATTTTCAACTTCCCACATTCACATCCCACCTTCCACTTTCTACTACCACTTCCTATTCCCACTCACTACCCACATTCACATCCTACTTTCCACTCACTTCCCTGCTTCCACTTCCTATTCCCGTTTTTCACTTTTCCACCATGAGGAGGTGAAAGTGAGAAGCGAAAGTGGAAGTTAGGAAGTGAGAGTGAGAATAGGAAGTGGTAGTAGAAAGTGGAAGGTTGGATATGGAAAATAAAAGTGGGAAGTGAGAGTGGAAAGTTGAAGGTAAGAAGTGAGAGTAGTAAGTGGAAAGTAGGAGTATTAAGTGGAAAGTGGGAGTAGAAAGTCGAAGGTGGAAAGTGGAAGTTGGAAAGTGAGAGTGAGAATGGAAAGTGGTAGTAAAAAGTAGAAGGTAGGATGTAAATGTGAGACGTGAGAGTGGAATGTGGGAAGTAGAAAGTGTGAGTAGAAAGTTGAAGGTAAAGAGTGACTATAAGCGTTGGAACGTGGAAGGTGGGAAGCGAGAGTGGAAAGTGAAAGTTGGAAGTGGTAGTAGAAAGTGGAAAGTAGGAGTAGAAAGTGGAAGGTAGGAAGTGAGAGTAAGAATAGAAAGTGGTAGTAGAAAGTGAAAGGTGGAATGGAAATGTGGAAAGTGGGAGTAGAAAGTGGAAGGTAAGGAGTGAATGTGGGCAGTGGAAAGTGGAAGGTGGGAAGTGAGAGTAAGAATGGAAAGTGGTAGTAGAAAGTGGAAGGTTGGATATGGAAAATAAAAGTGGGAAGTGAGAGTGGAAAGTTGAAGTTAAGAAGTGAGAGTAGTAAGTGGAAAGTAGGAGTATTAAGTGGAAAGTGGGAGTAGAAAGTCGAAGGTGGAAAGTGGAAGTTGGAAAGT